CTTCCCAATTCTAACACTTACAGACCCACAAGTTCTTGACGCGAAAATTCTTACTAAATGATTGGAAGGGACAGAGAAACTCCCTTTTACCGAGAAATCTCACCTCGCTAATTGTTGATTCGTCAATCCACGGGTCAATGAAAAAGTACCGCTACATCCTTTTTATTTTTCATTTTTTTTTTTTTTTTTTGGTGGATTTGTGGCCGTCAACTGACTTTATCAAATATATATTTCAGAAATACGATATATTTCCAGAAGCCTGTGGCTGCTTCTTTTATTTAGGAAATTTTTTCCCTCTCCCTAATTCCTAACCTTAATTTATTATTCTCTACCTGAACGTGGTATTTTCATTGTATTCTCTCCTCTTGTGAAAGTCTGTTGGTGTATGTATAAGAGTTTGTACTTGGTCATTACAGCAGGAATTTACAAAAAGACTGAAGGTTTTCTTCTTTGATTGCTAGCAATAACCTGTAAGTAGAGGAGTGAATTTAGGTGAAGGCATGATAAGAGACTGCACTCACTGTTTCCATCTTGATTTCATGTCCGAGTTTACTGGTTCACGAAGTCAAACGTTGACGTCCGATCCCAGCAAAGCCATGTTATGAAAAGTGGGAGAGCTTTTGTTTGGAATTTTGGGATCGTGGTCAGCTGAGTGAGTCCTTTCCGGTTTCTTATTTTTGAATAATGGGAAATGGGTTTATTTTTAGACTTGATTTTTTTTTTTTTTTTGTAACTACCATGATTCTCATTCAATTAATTCTAGCATTATTCTATCATCAGAAACAGAATATCGAGTTTATATTTGTTGATAATTTCGTATTTTTGCATTTAGTTTCCAAGATGTCTTATACTTTGTCTTTACTGTTTCATTCATTGATATTTTATGTTCATAATTCAATTTGTTTTCGATTGATTTTGGGTCGCCATGGGCCGGCGACTGGGAATATGTTTGTAGATAATCGTGTAAACAACTAATTCCTTTGAGATGGAAAGCTAATTAAATGAATTCAAATTAAATCTGTGCACACGTTTGCACGAGAATCAGTCGTCTAACGGGCTTACAAACTTTTATACATTTGTTTTCTGTAAATTTGCCGCCATGTTCAAAGAGGAATACATTATGCTTCTTTTATTATTACGGCCAATGGATGCTATGTTCAAAAAAAAAAACTGTTCTTTTCATCGACTTAATAATCACCAAGCCTTGGGCTTCGGGAATAAATAGAGATTATTTTCATTTGATAGAAGAATGTGCGTTATCGGTCTGATTGCTACTGTTACGAAAATCATGACTTGTCTGTGACCGTTGGGTTTTATCATTTGTTATATAATAAGTCTGTTATTCCCTCATGTTTATTTCATGTTTTATGTGTTCCTAATATAATGTTTGTATCAATGAAAACATTAACACGAACTGTGTAAACTTATTAAACTCAACGCAAACGCCGATGAATGCGATTGTCGGTATGGGAATTAACATCCAAAGTTTTGATTGAAAGAGTCCTAAGGTGGAAGATTTTATCATTATGTCGTCTATAGACCAGAAATAAAAAAAAAAAAAGATTTTCTTCGAGCCCAGGATATTATCAGTTAAAACGATCTCGGTGAGAAATAATTGAATATTCCGGTGAAATGGTATGTATATCTATACCATCAAAAATGTTTTCAACAAAACGATACAGAATGATAGCGAATACATAACAGGCTAAAATTTTATGAAATATTTATTACATAAAATAGTATAATAATAAGTAAAGTTTGGCTGTGGAAAAGGGTATGCTTTTCGTTAACAACAGAGTCCAAATGTCTACATTACTGAACAAAGAAATGTGCCACGTACTGACCGGCTGGGGAAAGAACGCTTCCCGTTTTGTATGTGACCCTACGCAAGAAAGAAGAGGGTTATTTTTTATTTATTTTTTTTTTGAAAGCACATATTTTTAAAGGTTTCTTTGAAGTAAGCGCTCAGTCTTAAATGTTCCTTTAGTTTATCAAGTATAAAAGAGGTGAGGGAGAATAATAACGGTCGCTTGACGTTTGTCAAGGGAGGTGTTAATACGCTCGTCTCCTCCTCTCTGGTGACAAGCGAACTTGCCCATTTTTTATTTTGTTTGTGGGGCTTCAAAAAGTCATTTGGGAATTCACTCCCGGATATGATTCAGGCCTTTTCATTGGACGATGAACAAATTTTTGCGTAGGCCCGCGAAAAGGTCCGTGAAAGAATTTGTTTCTGAGAATTGAAGATGATTTGAATTTTATTTTTAAATGTTTCCTAGTTTTTTATTGGCCGAAAAACATTTCGCATCAACGTGTGAAATTTTACGAGTTTTGTTTTGGATTCGCTTTTGCGTGTGTGTTAAGCAAAGTATGTAAATTCGTTTTTTTTTTTTAAATTTCTAACAATATCAATGAGTCAGTGCTTAGTATTTGAATTTTAAATCTAGATCTTGTTTTGTTCACTACAGGCAGATCATATCAAAGCGAGGAAAAGACTGAAAACAAAGGTTAAGGAGCTTAACATTACTCAAGACTGTTCCATGTGTTTAAATTTGTAAATACTGTCGAACTGACTTCTCATTAGTCAGTTAATATTAAAATCATGTTCTCGCCTACGTCCCTACAACGCCTACGCATTATTCAAAACCATTTTTCCGCCCAAAATCAGAAATGCTTTACGGAACCGATCATGTGATTACGTTTATTATAAATACTGTGACACAAGTTCTTTCTTTCTATTTTTGGTTTCTCTCGCTTACTAAAATGTAGCTGTTTAAGAAATCATGTTCCGACCCCTTTCGGACGGACGCTATGAAAACATATTCACACACACGCACACATATACGTACATACGGAAACTTAATAGCAAACATTACGAACATTAACATTTACGAATACTCAACTACAAGCAACAAAAACTAATTAAACATTACGGAACATTCACTCCTTCAACTCTTCTGAAGCTTATAGTGGGTTAGCCAATCTGTATTGGTTATAAATACAAATAAAACTCTCTACTATTTTTACTATGTAACGAAGACAACAACAACAAGAGAAATAATCGAGTAGAAGAATTTGTTCAACAATAAATATTTTTTATAAAACAACAAATACAAAATATATGATGCTAAAGTTGTTAAAACACTTTAGAGTTCTTGATTTTGTGTTATATTGAAAAAACTTAAGTTGCTGATCTGTATGTATGAAAGTGAGGTGTGCTTAAGTATATTTGTCGTTGTAGGAAAATTAAACAGTTGTTTTTTGTATTAAATTACAAAAAAAGTGTTGTTCTTGACTCACTGTGATTTGTACAGAGTTGTCACTCTTTTACCGGAGATGTTTGTTGTGGAATAATATATTTTGTTGGAGTGAGCGTTCTTTCGCAAGCTGGGTTTATGTTAATTTTTAAATAATTAACGTTAAGCCTGGAATTTGTGACAAGGTTCGTTGTGGCGTTGAAGAATTTGGTTCGTCTCCTTTGTTGTTGTGTCGATTTCCAATGAAGTCAAGTGAATGAGTTCTGTATTTTAAGTGCCCACTGACCAAGTCGCGTCGAAGTTTCGTTTTTATTAGTTCTCTTGGTCACGTGGGGGATCGTGAACATGTTTACATTTTGTGGCGTCAACTCGACGTCAAAATTTGGGTCGGTGCCTTCGGACGTAGTTGACGACACCTAATTAATATTTTTCAACCAATCAGAATGCATCAGTTGTTATACTTGGTTGGGAGTGTCGCGGTCGCCGATTATCCGCTCCTTACAAAGCCGACCTTGACCTTCACAACTCTCGATCTCGCAGATCTAGGTCAAGCAACAGGCCAGAAACCGGACGGCTAGTCCAATATCGTTGATGTCAAACCATACCTAGTACGCATCTGACTATGCTGAGCCATTCTAAACATCGGCAACCATAGACTATAATTTATTATCTACGGCCTTCTACTCCTCTAGCCAGGGAGTACTTGAACAAATCTTTGCAAATATCCTTAGACACTTTTTTTCGCCCAAACTAGGCAGCTCGGCCCGGAGGCCTGGATCAAAGTGTAGTACATCACCTTTGTGAACTTCCGGTGCTTTTTTGTCGAGAGTGTTACTCTTCGGCGCGATCCCGTCTCCACGGTCGATCCGCCCTGGAAGGTGTAACACCTCTGACCTACCTCGCCTGGTGATACACTTTGGCGCGATCCCGTTCCCGCGGTCGATCCGCCCGTGAAGTAGCATCACTGGTCTGCCTTTGGCCCTGTTTTAGGACCCGTCTTCGCCTGGTGATACACTTTGGCGCGATCCTGTTCCCGCGGTCGATCCGCCCCGTGAAGTAGCATCACTGGTCTGCCTTGGCCCTGTTTAGGGACCCATCTTCGCCTGGTGATACACTTTGGCGCGATCCCGTTCCCGCGGTCGATCCGCCCTGTGAAGTAGCATCACTAGTCTGCCTTTGGCCCTGTTTAGGGACCCGTTCGCATTTCGGCCGAACCAACTACGTTCGCCGACCAATCCTAAACTACCGGGCCAGACCAGCTACTTTCGACCAGACCAGCTACGCTCACCTACCAATCCTAAACTACCAGGCCAGACCAACTACATTCGGCCAGACCAACTACATTCGACCGGACCAGCTACATTCTACCGAACCAACTACGTTCGCCTACCAAACCTAAACTACCAGCTACAATCGACCGAACCAGCTACGTTCGTCGATTAACCAGTTTTCGGACCACACCGATGTAAATGTGTGAATAAAAACGACACTTTTGTTCATAACAAAAACCTTTGCCTTTGTCCCGTCATTGTCTTGGCTGTTCACATTTATCGTATATTTAAAAACCTTGCGGGGCGACATCCTACTCGGCCCCGCAACAAGTGGTGACTTCCTGACGTGAGACAGCTAAGCGATGATGGAGTCGGCTAAAAGTGATTCTTTGACATGACGGCTGCGATCATACCTCTGCCTGCATACCACCATAATGCCAAGAACTGGTTCTTGCAGGTGGAATCCATCTTTTCAATGCTACGCATTACTTCACAGCGAGCCAGATTCGCGAATGTAATGCAGAAACTCCCATCTGATATGATGGACGAAATTTCTGATGTCCTCTCCGATTTGCGCGAGCATGAACCGTACGATCACTTAAAGGAAGCAATCCTCAAGCGAACCGGACGTTCCGAGGAAGATATGATCCAAGAGATACTGCGGAACGTCACTAGAGGCGACAAAAACGCCATCCCAGCTTCTCAGATATATGAGGAACCAGCTGGGAAAGCACAACGTATCAGAAAAGGTTCTTCGAGGTTTATGGCTGGAGCATTTGTTTAAATCTGTTGCACAAATCATCGCACCAATGACGAGAGCCACGCCTCTGGACGATTTGGCAGAATCTGCTGATCTTGTTTTTGCACAGTTCGACCATTAGCGTTAACGCTGTTCGCGCCCCCGACATAGCGAAGCACGAACGCTACGAGCCTAGTAAAACGGAACGGGCGTTGGCCGACCTTCAACGGCAAATTCGGGAGCTCCAGATCTCCCTGCGCCTGCGGACGAGGACATCGACCCCATCTCGACGGAGACGAACCCCAGCCGAGAACGGCGAAGCGACCAGGGTGTTTGTTGGTTTCATCGCACATTCGGCGATGAGGCCAGGAATTGTAAACCTCCCTGTACACACCCGTCGGCCTGGGGGAAACGAATAAACCGGAGAGTCGCGACGACTAACTCTTCCGGTGCCAACACGCAATGTCGTCTATTTTACGTTTGGGATCGACGGAACAAGTTGAAATTCCTGGTGGACACAGGTGTGCGGCCATCAGCGTGGTACCCCTTCAGAACGACCACACCGCTAAGCCCACCCTGATCAAACTACGAGCAGCGAATGGTTCCGCGATAGACACGTACGGAGAAAGGACCCTTACTTTGAATATCGGCATGCGACGCGATTTCACTTGGACATTTACCGTGGCCAACGTGAAGTTACCCATCCTCGGCGCGGATTTCCTGGCGCATTACGCACTGGCGGTCCATATGAACCCTAGGACTCTGTCCGATACGACGACGAATCTCCGTGTCTTAGGTGCCCCCTACACGTCAAGGCTCCACAGGAATCAGCGTCGCAACATGCCATGGTCGCGAGTACTTAGATCTCCTGACGCAGTTCACGGATATAACGCTGCCACCCAAGTAACGGCTTCAGGTGACCATCAGACTCAGCACCACATCAGAACCCGAGGTCCTCCCGCACACTCCCATCCGCGACGACTCGCTCCGCACAAACTGGCGTACGCCAAGGAGCAATTCGACAAAATGCTCAGTGATGGCATCATTCGTCCTTCCGATAGCCCTTATGCCTCGCCACTACACTTAGTGCCTAAACCTGGTGGTGAAGAATTTCGGATATGCGTCGACTAATGGAAATTGAATGCATCGACCGTACCAGACCGATATCCTGTCCCTCATATCCATGATTTTGCATCCGGATTGATGGGGGCTCGCATCTTCTCGAAAATCGACCTGACAAAGGCATACCACCAGATCCCCGTCGCTGCGGAAGACGTCCCAAAAACGGCAGTCACAACACCGTTTGGCCTATACGAATTTCTAAAATGCCGTTCGGTCTACGTAACGCTGCACAGACCTTCCAACGACTCATAGACGAAGTCCTGCGCGGACTTCCGCATGTATACGCCTATATCGACGACATCTTGGCGGCCAGTACAGACGCCGATTCTCACAGACAACACCTGCGAGAAGTCTTCCAGCGACTCGCACTACGGCCTGAAGTTGAACCTGGACAAGTGCGTTTTCGGGGCGCCCAGCGTTGACTTTTCGGGCACCGCACCGACGCAGACGGCATAGCACCTCTGCCAGACAAGATCAGCTCGATCCGGGACTTTCCTACACCGACGTCCATGAAGCAATTGCGACGTTTCCTCGGCATGCTCAATTTTTATCGTCGGTTCATACCAAATTGCGCTACCATCCTCCAGCCACTGACGAACCTGCTGCAGAGAAGAAACAAGGACATCTCTTTGGAGGGAGATGCTCTGCACGCATTCCATACAGCGAAGGCTGCATTGGCGAATTATACCAGGCTCTCGCATATCAACGACGATCCAGAGACACGACTATTCCTGACAACCGACGCATCCGACGCTGGTGTGGGCGCGGTGGTTGAGCAAGAGTTCAACTCACAACGCGAACCCATCGCATTCTTTTTTCAGCCAAGCTTTCGCCAGCCCAGAGAAAATATAGCACCTTCTCCCGAGAGCTGCTGGCCATTTATCTGGCCGTCAGGCATTTCAGGCACTTACTGGAAGGTCGAGATTTTACCATCTATACCGACCATAAACCGTTGACAACCGCGATGAGTAACAACTCTGACAAGTATACAGCTCGCGAGATCCGGCATCTCGACTACCTGTCACAGTTCTCGACCGATATTCGTCACATAAAGGGGAAGGACAACGCCGTCGCAGACACATTATCGCGAGCGGAAATTCAATCTCTTCAGACCGGCGTCTTGGGTCAAGATTCCATAGCCGCTGAACAAAAAATCCGACCCCACGCTGCAAGACGTCCTTTCGAATACTTCTTTAAAGCTTCGGGAGTTCCCTGCATCCTTCAGCGACGACACCCTGTACTGTGACACCAGCCTAGCAAGCCCTAGGCCCTACATCCCACCGACACTTCGGAGACAGGTATTCCAACATTTCCACGGGCTGTCTCATCCAAGTAAGCGAGCTACGGTCAAACTTATTACCGACCGATTCGTTTGGCCCAATATGAATGCGGACATTCGAGAATGGGTTTCCACGTGCATGGAGTGCCAGAAGTAAGGTCCACCGACACACTAAATCCCCCGTCGGCACCTTCAGCAGTCCCGATGCACGGTTCTCACACATACATGTCGACTTAGTGGGGACCGCTTCCGATGTGTCAGGATTACCAGTATCTTTTTGACGGTTGTGGATCGTTTTTCGCGGTGGCCGACCGCCATACCTATAAAAGACACTTCTGCTAACACAGTCTCTAGGACCATCCTGAAAGAGTGGATTGGAACTTTCGGCACGCCCCACGTTATCACGACCGACAGGGGTCACAGTTCCAGTCGTCCCTTTTCGGGAGTTTACCAACCTACTTGGCGCCAAGCACATAAAGACTACCGCTTATCATCCGTGCGCCAACGGCTTAGTTGAGAGGTTTCATCGGTCCCTTAAACCTCCCCTGGCCACTAGACCTGACACTATCAATTGGGTGGACGACCTACCTTTAATTCTCCTAGCATTGAGGAACACCGTAAAGGAGGATTTAGGTTGTTCACCCGCCGAACTGGTTTTCGGTACACCTCTTGCGCTACCCGGCGAATACTTCGACGACTCCCTTCAGACGTTTTCAAAACCAACATCTCCTTTCGTCGAGGAACTCCGCCACAAAATGGCCCGGCTTAAATATGCAACTCCACGACAGCAACCGGTGAATTCGTACATCCCTCAACACTTGCGAGATTGCAAATTCGTTTTCGTACGGAACGACGCCGTGAGACGACCACTCACGCCGGCATACCAAGGTCCTTTTCAGGTTCTTCGACGCACCGACAAGCACCTTACGATCAAGCGCGCCAACTCGACCGACACCATCGCAATCGATCGGACCAAGCCTGCTTTTCTGGAGAAGCGACAGTATGACGCAAACCCGGCTCTGCGGCCCCTAATGCTATTCCAGCGCACCCATCAGACGCAGCACCGCAGACATCAAACGACACCCCAGCGACTCCTGTGCGGCAGACCCGATCCGGTAGGAGGGTCACTTTCCTAAAGACCTTCGTAAATATTATTATTATTAATTGATACGATCAATTTTCTGGGGAAGGGCCTTGTCGCGGTCGCCGATTATCCGCTCCTTACAAAGCCGACCTTGACCTTCACAACTCCCGATCTCGCAGATCTAGGTCAAGCAACATGCCAGAAACCGGACGGCTAGTCCAATATCGTTGATGTCAAATCATACCTAGTACGCATCTGACTATGCTGAGCCATCGGCAACCATAGACAGTAATTTATTATCTACGGCCTTCTACTCCTCTAGCCAGGGAGTACTTGAACAAATCTTTGCAAATATCCTTAGACACTTTTTTCGCCCAAACCAGGCAGCTCGGCCCGGGGGCCTGGATCAAAGTGTAGTACACTACCTTTGTGAACTTCCGGTGCTTTTGTCGAGAGTGTTACTCTTCGGCGCGATCCCGTCTCCACGGTCGATCCGCCCTGGAAGGTGTAACACCTCTCTGACCTGGTGATACACTTTGGCGCGATCCCGTTCCCGCGGTCGATCCGCCCCGTGAAGTAGCATCACTGGTCTGCCTTGGCCCTGTTTAGGGACTCCGTCTTCGCCTGGTGATACACTTTGGCGCGATCCCGTTCCCGCGGTCGATCCGCCCCGTGAAGTAGCATCACTGGTCTGCCTTTGCCCTGTTTAGGGACCCGTCTTCGCCTGGTGATACACTTTGGCGCGATCCCGTTCCGCGGTCGATCCGCCCCGTGAAGTAGCATCACTGGTCTGCCTTGGCCCTGTTTAGGGACTCCATCTTCGCCTGGTGATACACTTTGGCGCGATCCCGTTCCCGCGGTCGATCCGCCCTGTGAAGTAGCATCACTAGTCTGCCTTGGCCCTGTTTAGGGACCCGTTCGCATTTCGGCCGAACCAACTACGTTCGCCGACCAATCCCTAAACTACCGGGCCAGACCAGCTACTTTCGACCAGACCAGCTACGCTCACCTACCAATCCTAAACTACCAGGCCAGACCAACTACATTCCAGGCCAGACCAACTACATTCGACCGGACCAGCTACATTCTACCGAACCAACTACGTTTATTTACCAAACCTAAACAAACCTAAACTACTGGCTACAATCGACCGAACCAGCTACGTTCGTCGATTAACCAGTTTTCGGACCACACCGATGTAAATGTGTGAATAAAACGACACTTTTGTTCATAACAAAACCTTTGCCTTTGTCCCGTCATTGTCTTGGCTGTTCACATTTATCGTATATTTAAAAACCTTGCGGGGGCGACATCCTACTCGGCCCCGCAACAGGAGCGTCTATGTGTTTAACTTGCACAAATTTGAGATTTAAAACAAATGTAGGAATCCGATTTTACAAGCTAAAAGTTTATCAACATATTCTCAGTTTTACAGAATTATTTCAATTCTCACGGTGAACATTTTGAGCGACAAATTCATTCAATTTTCTATGAGCTCAGATAAAAATATTTCCTTAGTAAAGATTTTAATTCCAGTCAAATGGAAGTAACTCCTATTAATTATGCTTGTATATCATTACGTACATAAATATGAATATTGTTTTTGTTATAAAAATAGTTTTTCGTGTTTTTCTCTTGTTTGTTTTTCGTTTGCTTACACATTTGTAAAGTAAAAAATGCGCGAATTGATTTAGGTCGTCAATACCGCCACAGCAGCATCATCGTCATTGCTTTCTTGTAGCTATTTTATATGCCCTTGCTGGTGGTGAATTTTATATGCCCTTGCTGGTGGTGAATTTTATATGCCCTTGCTGGTGGTGAATTTTATATGCCCTTGCTGGTGGTGAATTTTATATGCCCTTGCTGGTGGTGAATTTTATATGCCCTTGCTGGTGGTGAATTTTATATGCCCTTGCTGGTGGAATTTTATATGCCCTTGCTGGTGGTGAATTTTATATGCCCTTGCTGGTGGTGAATTTTATATGCCCTTGCTGGTGGTGAATTTTATATGCCCTTGCTGGTGGTGAATTTTATATGCCCTTGCTGGTGGTGAATTTTATATGCCCTTGCTGGTGGTGAATTTTATATGCCCTTGCTGGTGGTGAATTTTATAATTTTATATGCCCTTGCTGGTGGTGAATTTTATATGCCCTTGCTGGTGGTGAATTTTATATGCCCTTGCTGGTGGTGAATTTTATATGCCTTGCTGGTGGTGAATTTTATATGCCCTTGCTGGTGGTGAATTTATATGGTGGTGAATTTTATATGCCCCTTGCTGGTGGTGAATTTTATATGCCCTTGCTGGTGGTGAATTTTATATGCCCTTGCTGGTGGTGAATTTGAATTTTATGCCCTTGCTGGTGGTGAATTTTATATCCACTGGTGGTGAATTTTATATGCCCTTGCTGGTGGTGAATTTTATATGCCCTTGCTGGTGGTGAATTCTAGCCGTTTTTCCACAATTGTTCAAAATCTTTACACTAACACAGATACAGAAATCGAAACGTTGTTCAGGAGAAGTAAAACATATTTATCGAAAATTAAATTTAATTTCTAAATTTCAACTGTTTTCTGCTCAACCTTTTAGTGCATGTGATTGATTCAGCAAGGTAATCTGGTTCAACACCTGACTTCAACTGACACCTA